GGCCCCAGCTGTGGGGTACATCTGCCTTGCAGGCCTTTAGCCACCTTATCAGATATGTGGCCTTGGGTCTTTGGCCCCGAGGTTTTCTCCTCTCCCCTCCTGCCGTCAGTTGGGATGGATCCTTTGATCCCAGGGAAAGTGACCCACATTCTGGGGTGGACCAGTGGGACAAAGGGGAGATTATACTGGAGACTGGATGCTCTTAGAAAAGGTACCCGCCACCTCCCCCTACCCGCATCTCCCGTCTCCCTGGTCTGCCTTGGCCCACTCACTGCTTGTCTGCATCAACTTGGCTGCCATTTTGTGACTAGGAGGCAACAAAACCAGTGCTTAAACCCGGGAGGCAGAGGTTGTAGTGAGCAGAGATTGTGCCACTGCACTCCAGCAAGACTCCATCTCAAAAAAAAAGAAAAAAAAAAGAAAAAAAAAAGCGATGGGCAAGGAGCAGAAAGCCAGCAAGAACCTGGGAGACTGCACCAGCCCTGGCCTGCCTCCCCCACGTCAGCCAGCCCTGGAGAGTCACGGCCTGGGTTTGTGGCTACATTTCTTGGAAATACAAGAAGGCAATAAAGGAAGCAGGAGTGCATAGCATCTTCATCCCAGGGCCCTGCACAAAGCCATTTCCAGGAAGAAACAGAATACTCTCCAAGTTGTTCTGGGAGCTCCAGATGAAATCCTTCCATCCCCAAGTTCCCTAACCCAAGGTATTTCTCCACAGAGGGCTTAGAAAACTTTCTCCCCCAAGGGAACCATTTCAATTAATGCCTTCCATCGCTTCCCAATCTGAGGTCTGCTTCCTCCCATCCACTGGGTCTTCCCTCCACGACTGTAGGCCTGAGGGACAGGTGGGCAGGTGGACAGTGCTTGTCAGCTTCGCTTTACAGATGTGGAAACTGAGGCACGGTTACACTACAGGTTAAGTGGCAGCACCAGAACTGGACTGACTTTTTTTTTCTTTTTTTGAGATGAAGTCTCGCTCTGTCACCCAGGCTGGAATGTAGCCTGGTTGCAGTGATCTCGACTCACTGCAACCTCTGCCTCCCGGGTTCAAACGAGTCTCCTGCCTCAGCCTCCGGAGGAGCTGGGATTACAGGTGTGCACCACCACGCCAAACTAATTTTTTTTGTATTTTTAGTAGAGACGGGGTTTCGCCATGTTGACCAGGCTGGTCTCAAACTCCTGACCTCAAGTGATCCGCCTGCCTTGGCCTCCCAAACTGCTGGAATTACAGGCATGAGCCACCGCGCCCAACTCTTTTTTTTTTTTTTTTTTTTTGAGGCGGAGTCTCGCTCTGTTATCCGCTCACTGTAACCTCCACCTCCCTCATTCAAGAGATTCTCCTGCCTCAGCCTCCCGAGTAGCAAGTAGCTGGGACTACAGGCATGTGCCACCACACCCAACTAATTTTTGTGTTTTGTTTTGTTTTTGAAGACAGAGCCTCACTCTTGTCACCCAGGCTGGAGCGCAGTGGCGTGGTCTCAGCTCACTGCAACCTCCGCCTCCCGGGTTCAAGTGATTCTCCTGCCTCAGCCTCCCGAGTAGCTGGTATTACAGGCAGCATGTGCCACCACACCCAGCTAATTTTTGTATTTTTAGTAGAGACAGGGTTTCACTATGTTGGCCTGACCTCAAACTCCTGACCTCGTGATCTGCCCGCCTCAGCCTCCCAAAGTGCTGGGATTATAGGTGTGAGCCACTGTGCCCAGCCTTTTTTTTTTTTTTTTAGAGATAGGTTTTCACCATGTTGGACAGGCTGGTCTCACACTCCTGACCTTTTGTGATCAGCCTGCCTCCGCCTCCCATAGTGCTGGGATTACAGGCGTGAGCCACCATGCCCGGCCTGGACTCAGTTTTCTAACACCACTTGATCATTCATTAACACGTCTGTTAAGATGTGTGTTGAGTGACTCATGCACCAGGCTCTGTCATGGGCCCAGGGGAGAGCAGAGCGAATAGTACGGCCATGGTTGTGGTTCACATGGGCTTTTAGAGCCTTTACATCAACTCAGGTGACCTTAGTTACATATTCACAGTTAGGAAAAAGGAGTCTTGAGGTATGCATGTTTGTTAGGATGCTTTGATGATTCGCAGCAGAAAAACTCAAAGCAGCCTAAAAATATAGTGGAGGCTGCACACCGTGGCTCATGCCTGTAACCCCAGCACTTTGGGAGGCTGAGGCAGGAGGATTGCTTGAGGCGAGGAGTTCGAGACCAGCCTGGGCCACACAGGGAGAGCCCTGTCCATACAAAAATTTTAAAAATTAGCTGGGTGTAGTGGCGCGTGCCTGTGGTCCCTCCCAGCTATGAGAGAGGCTGAGGTGGGAGAATCACTCGAGGCCAGAAGTTTGATACCAACCTGGGCAACACAGCAAAAACGCTATCCGTATAATTTTTTTTTTTTTTTAGAGGGAGTCTCGCTCTGTCACCCAGCCTGGAGTGCAGCGGTGTGATCTTGACTCACTGCAATCTCCGCCTCCCGGGTTCAAGTGATTCTCCTGCCTCAGCCTCTGGAGTAGCTGAAATTACAGGCGCGTGCCACCATGCCTGGCTAATTTTTGTATTTTAGTAGAGACGGAGTTTCACCATGTTGGTAAGGCTGAGTCTCGAACTCCTGACCTCAAATGATCCGCCTGCCTTGGCTTCCCAAAGTGTTGGGATTATAGGCGTGAGCCACCACGCCCAGCCTATAAAAATTTTAAAACTTAGCCAGGCATGGTGTTGCACACTTGTAGTCCCAAACACTCGAGAGGCTAAGGTGGGAGGATGGCTTGAGCCCAGGAGTTGGAGGCTGCAGTGAGCTGTGATTACCTCACTACACTCCAGCCTGGGTAATGGAGCCAGACCCTGTCTCTAAAACATATTAATTAATTAAGCAGATAACTTGGCTCACATAGTTGAATCTTTGGAGGCAGGTTGGGCTCAGGCCGGCCAGAGGTGACCAGAGCTCCGGTTACTTCTCTGACCTTCTCTCCGCTCTGCACTCTCCCTGCAGCTTCCCTCATTGCTGTTCCACTTCCGCGTTCCACTTACAAATCTGGATTCCTGCAGCTCGCCCAGAAGGGGCTTCGGTGCTGGATCATCAGCTGAAGTCCTGGGCTTTGCTTTGATTGGGCCATCTTAGGTCACAAGTGCAGGACAGGGAACACTGTGAGCTGATTTAGAGCACTCAGGGCCACTTGGGGTCATTCCCTGCGCATCTACAAAGCAGTGGAAGAGTAGGATGGAAGCCAGAGAAGCAGCAACAGGGTCACCTCAGTTACCCTACACTTGTCTTCGTGGGAAGACGGCTGCCAGTACAGACCCCTTGAAGCTTTTTATCTGCTTGAACTAAAGCCACTGCCTGTATTTGCTGAGGTTGCCGACATCTGTCTGAGCAAATCTGCAGGAGCAGCAAGATTGGGGGGGCTCACAAAAGTTCGAGCACTTCCTGTGAGCACGCACACTGGATGACCCGCTTCGCACACTTGGACACATTTAATCCTCCCAACCACCCTTGGGGGTCGAATTCAGTGGAAAAGAGAGCAGTGGCTAAGGGCACCTCCAATGAGGAGGGTGTCGGGACAAAGCGACCTGAGACCCCCCCAGCCACATCCTGCAGGACAAACCAATGTCCGCAGGTGAGGACGGGGTGGGAAAAGTGTTCCAAGCAGAAGGAACAGCGAGTGTCAAAGCCTCTAAGCCTGACGGGGTGGGAGTCTGGCTTGGACCTCCAGAGATCTAGGAAGACCCTGCACAAATACTAGGGAGAGGGGTCTGAAGGAGGCAAGAGGAGGAAAGGTTTTTGTTGTTGTTTGAGAGGAAGTCTCCCTCTGTTGCCAGGCTGGTGTGCAGGGGCACCATCTTGGCTCACTGCAGCCTCTGCCCCGGGGGTTCAAGCAATTCTCGTGCCTCAGCCTCCCGAGTAGCTGGGATTACAGCAGCGCTCCATCGCGCGATGGGGCTCCTTGCAGCTTTCTTTTTTTTTTGAAACAGAGTCTCACTCTGTTGCCCAGGCTGGAGTGTGTTGGTGCCATCTCGGCTCACTGCAACCTCCGCCTCCTAGGTTCAAGCGATTCTTCTGCCTCAGCCTCCCGAGTAGCTGGGATTACAGGCATGCGCCACCACGCCTGGCTAATTTTTGTATTTTTTAGTAGAGACGGGGTTTCACTGTCTTAGCCAGGATGGTCTCCATCTCCTGAGCTCATGATCCTCCTGCCTCGGCCTCCAAAAGTGCTGGGATTACAGGCCTGAGCCACCGCGATTTGCCGAGGGAAGGTTTTCATCGGTGGCTCTTCCATGTGTCTGGCCGCCTGGGCACGTATTCACTGAAGAGGCAGAGGGTCAGGATGGGGAGACTCCTGGGACCACCTGGCTCAAGACCCGCAATTAGGTGGCTGCAAGGCCAACCCGGTAAGTTTAAGAAGTGAAGCCGATTGACGTGAAACAGAAAGGAAAGAAGTTAGCTGGCCGGCCAGCGTCAGCACAGGCAGCCAGTGTCACCCTGCCCGGGGACGGCACCCCGGTTTTGTGGCGACGACACCGAGGGCCGAGGGGGCGGGGCCGGGCTGCCCTGGCCACGCCCGACCGCCTGCGCCCCGCCCAAGGCCTGCACAGTTGGCGCCCCGCGGGTATCAGCGTGAAGGGGGCTCCTCGCCGGCTGGGGACGGGGCTGCGGGGCTCGCCAGCCGCTCACCTGCGTGGGAGCGCAGAGCCTGCAGTACCCGCCGTCCGGGCTCAGAGGACGCGACTCCCCGACCCTGCGCCCGGCAGCCCCCGGTGGCCGTGCGCCCGGCCCAGGCTCGGAGGTCGAGCCCAGCGGCAGCTTAGGCTGCGCGCCTGGCTCCCAGCCTCAGTTTCCCCATTGGTAAAGCGTTGACGGGAGGTTGCGGACGGCTTCTACGGACAGAGCCTTAGGCTCCGACGTCTGCGCGGGTCCTGGCAGCACCCCCACCCCGAAGGGAGGGCGGGACCTGGATCTCGCGACCGCTGCCCCAGGTCCCCGCCCCCGGGCCCTACGGGGCTGAGGTCGGGAGGCCCCGCCCCCCGCCCACGAGGAAGTGGTTGCGGCTCCGGCGCGGAGCCCAGAGCCGGTTCGGCGCGTCGACTGCCCAGAGTCCGCGGCCGGGGCGCGGGAGGTGAGGGCCGCGGGGGCGCCCGGAGGTGGGGGTCGGGGGAGCCATCCGGAGGTGGGGGGACGCGTGAATGTGGGGCGCCGCCTGGGAGTGAGCGGGACGGGAGGGATGAGAGGGGGTGCAAGGAGGGGGCCGGGGGGCGCCTGGAAGTGAGGAGGACGCATGGATGTGGGGCGCCGCCCAGTAGGGGCACAGGGATGAGTGAGGGCGCACGGAGAGGAGGGGGCGCGGGGACGGGGGGCTCGTGGAAAGGAGAGGGAACCCTGGGATTGGAGGGGGCGCGGGGGTGGCTACAGGGCCAGGCCGTGGAAACGCGGGCTCCCCGCGCACCGGGCGCCCTCGGGGCGTCCCCAGCCCCCGGTCCCGAGCGTCCGCCTCGTGCCTTCCACCTCGTGCCTTCCGCCCCTGCTCCCGGGCCCGCATCCCCGGCCTTGCCCCGCGGTCGGTCGGTGTAGCCCCGTTACTTCGGGCCGGCGGGGCCCCACGCCCAGTCACTTCCCCTCCATCCCGGAGCCTTCCGGGTTGCAGCCGCCGGGAAATGAGTTGGCGTCCCCGGCCGCCCCGCCCCTGCCCTCCTGGCCGCTCCCGCTGCTCCCAACCGCCTCCCCTGGGCCAGGTCCGAGGGGTCCCGATGGGGCGGGCCTAGCCGGTGGAGTCCCGGAACGCACCCCTCAGCTGCGGGGCTCCGCGGCCAGGGCAGATCCGAGCAGCCCCTCCCTTTCCGGAGGCGCAGGGAGAGCAGCCAGGCCGCCCAGGGCGGGGCGGGGCTGGGCCGGGCTGCACCCGCGGGCAGTGAAGAGATCAGGAGGGCAAGCCCTGGGGAGTCAGACCTCCCCCTGCCTCCTCTGCCAGTGCAGCCCGGAGGCTACCACCACCCATCCCGGCCGGGCGCGGCGGCTCACACGCACAATCCCAGCATTTTGAGAGGCCCAAGCGGGAGGATCGCTTGAGGCCAGGAGTTGGAGGCCAGCATGGACAGCACTGCGAGACCCCTTCTCTATTAAAATAAATAAATAAAATGTAGTCGGGCGCTGTGGCTCATGCCTGTAATCGCAACACTTTGGGAGCCGAGGTGGACGGATCACTTGAGGTCAGGAGTTCGAGACCATCCTTGCTTTACATGCTGAAACCCTGTCTCTACTAAAAATACAAACAGTTAGCTGAGGGTGGTGGCGCATGCCTGTAATCCCAGCTACTCGGGAGGCTGAGGCAGGAGAATCGCTTGAACCTAGGAGGTGGAGGTTGCAGTGAGCCAAGATTATATCACTGCACTCCAGCCTGGACAACAGAGGGAGACTCCATCTCAAAAAAAAAAAAAGTTAGCCAGGTATGGTGGTACATACGTGTAATCCCAGCTACTCGGGAGGATGAGGCAGGAGAATCGCTTGAACTTGCCTTGGCAGTGAGCCAAGATTATATCACTGCACTCCAGCCTGGACAACAGAGGGAGACTCCATCTCTAAATAAATAAATAAATAAAATCTTAGGGATCTAAGTAGGAGTGCCAGCTTCTCCCTTCACTGGCCAGTGACTGGTAAGCTACCCAACCCCTGCCAGCCTCAACTTTCCTTATCTGGAAAATGGGAACCTTAAGGATTGTGAGGCTGCAATGCAATACTGCAGGACACTTGGCAGCATGTCAGGCGCTGACAGTATAAACGTGTGCTTGTTGCTCACCTTGATCATAGTGTGCCCCCGGGTGAAACTAACTTCCTGGCCTCCAAGATGTGGGGTCAGAGTCCCAAGCTTCGTCATTTAGCAGGAGCCGAGTGACTTTGAGCAAATCATTGCCTTTGTCAGGCTGGGTTTCCTCCGGTACAAACTGAAGGTAAAAAGCAAACAGGCTGGGCGTGGGTGGCTCACGGTTGTAATTCCAGCACTTTGAGAGGCCGAAGCAGGCGGATTACCTGAGGTCAGGAGTTCGAGACCAGCCTGACCAACATGGTGAAACCCTGTCTCTACTAAAAATACAAAATTAGCCGGGCATGGTGGTGGGCAGGAGAATCGCTAGAACCTGGGAGGTGGAGGTTGCGGTGAGCTGAGATCACGGCATTGCACTTCAGCCTGGAGACAGAGTGAGACTCTGTCTCCAAAAAAAAAAAAAAAAAAAAAAGCAAACAAAAAATGTCCAGGCTTGCTTCAGGGTGTAAAAGAGAGAATGGTGAAAGTTCTGGGTAAAATTGCCTTGCCAGATGCCAGTAAAGTTCGTTTCTTACATATGTCTGTACGTAATCCATTGATAGGTCTTTTTCTTTTTTTGGAGTCCGGTCTCACTGTGTTGCCCAGGCTGCAGTGCCATGGCTTGATCATAACTCACTTTAGTCTCAAACTCCTGGGCTCAAGGGATCCTCCTGAGTAGCTGGGATTACAGGCATGTGCCTCCATGCCCAGCTAATTTTTAAATATTTAGTAGAGATGGGGTTTTGCTGTGTTGTCCAGGCTGGCCTCAAACTCCTGGCCTTAAGTGATCCTCCTGCCTTGGCCTCCCAAAGTGCTGGGGTTACAGGCATGGACCTCCACGCCTGCCTTGTAGGTGTTTTTTGGGTGCACCCATCACCCAAGCAGTGTATGCTGTACCCAATGTCCCAATGTGTAGTCTTCTTTTTTTTTTTTTTTTTTTTTTTGAGACGGCGGAGTTTCACTCTGTTGCCCAGGCTGGAGTACAGTGGCATAATCTCAACTTACTGCAACCTCTGCCTCTCGAGTTCGAGTGATTCTCTTACCTCAGCCTCCCAAGCAGCTGGGATTACAGGTGCCTGCCACCATTCCCAGATAATTTTTGTATTTTTAGTAGAGACAGGGTTTTATCATGTTGGGCAGGCTGGTCTCAAACTCTGACCTCAGGTGATCCACCTGCCTCCGCCTCCCAAAGTGCTGGGATTACAGGCGTGAACCACCATGCCCGTCCATTGATAGGTCTTTTCTAATATTAATAATTACATAGCATCTCAACATGTGAATGTCACAATTTACTCTTTCCATATTGTCACCTCGGTTTTTCCACACTGTCACCATTATAAAGAGGGCTGTTATAAACATGTTTGCTTTATTTTTTGAGATGAGGCTTCACTCTGACACACAGGCTGGAGTGCAGTGACGAGATCTCGGCTCATTGCAACCTCCGCCTTCCTGGCTCAAGGAATCCTCCAGCCTCAGCCCCTCAGACAGCCAGGACTACAGGGTGCAGTACCACGCCCTGCTAATTTTTTTTTTTTTTTTTGGTAGTTTTTATAGACACAGGGTTTTGCCATGTTGCCCAGGCTGGTCTCGGAACTCCTGGATTCAAGCGATCCACCTGCCTTGGCCTCCTAAAATGCTGAGATTACAGGTGTGAGCCATGGCACCCAACCTATGTTTGCTTTTGAAAAAGAAAAATGGGGCCAGGTGTGGTGGCTCACACCTGTAATCCCAGCACTTTGGGAAGCCAAGGCAGGTGGATCACAAGGTCAGGAGTTCGAGAACAGCCTGTCCAACATGGTGAAACCCCATTTGTACTAAAAAAAAAAATAATAAAAATAAATAGCCAGGTGTGGTGGTGGGCGCCTGTAGTTCCACCTACTTGGAAGGCTGAGACAGGAGAATTGCTTGAACCCGGGAGGTGGAGGTTGCAGTGAGCCAAGATTGCGCCATTGCACTCCAGCCTGGGCGACAGAGACTCCATGTCAAAAATAAAAAAAGAAAGAAAAATGTGTTGCTGTTTTCTTAGGACAAAGAATGCTGATTTTTTTCTTTCTTTCTTTTTTTTTTTTTTTGAGACAGTCTCGCTCTGTCACCCAGGCTGGAGTGAAATGGCATGATCTCAGCTCACTGCAACCTCCGCCTCCCAGGTTTAAGTGATTCTCCTGCCTCAGCCTCCTGAGTAGCTGGGTTTATAGGAGCACGCCACCACGCCTGGCTAATTTTTGTATTTTTGGTAGAGACAGGGTTTCACCATGTTGATCAGGCTGGTCTCGAACTCCTGACCTCGTGATCTGCCTGCCTCAGCCTCCCAAAGTGCTGGGGTTACAGGCGTCAGCCACCGCACCCGGCAAGAATGCTAATTTTCAAGTTCCTGTTAGTGTTATTCTGTTCTATTAATATTTGTTCCCACCTACTTGTTGAATCGAGTGCCTTTCAGAAGAATTAAACCAATTAGCAACCAGTGACAGTTTCTCCACAGCTCTGCCAGCATTGAATTTTATGTGGTTTTGGTTTTTGTTTGGTTTGGATGACTAACTGGTGCTTTAATGGTGCCTTACGATTGTTTTCGTGTGTGTTTCTTGACTTGCCTTTGCATGGTTGGTAAGACTGAAAGAGCAGAGCTGGGGAGGGAAGGATAGGGGTAGCAAGAGCTCCAGCCCAGCATAGGAAGTTGAGTAACCGCTTAGCACGGTACAAATTAGCCTGCTGGCTGCTCTATCCAAGAACTGTCTGAGCTGGGTGGGGACTTCCCGGAGCGCCTGTAATGCGGAGATCTTTCCTCCAGGCAGCTCCTGCTTGGTTTAGCCTCAGATACAGCCAAACCTCTGAATTCAGGGAAACCTAGGGAAGCCAGGCCAGAAAGGTCCCGCAGCTTGTGCCTGGTCCAGGCCCAGCCTCATCTGGATAAAGATGGGAGGGAAGTATTGAGCTGAGGGCACCCAGCCACTATGAAGAGAGCTAGAATGTAAACCCAGCACAGTAAGGAAGACAGTATCAAGGCCCAGGACTTTAGAGTGCCCCCCTCCACCCCCCACCCTGCCGCCACCACTGGGCAGCCTGAGGCTTTCTTTGCCTGGCACCACCATGCCCAGCTATTTTTTTTTTTCTTTTTTTTTAGTAGAGACAGGGTTTTGCCATGTTGGCCAGGATGGTCTCGAACTCCTGACCTCGAGTGATCCACCCGCCTCTACCTCTGCCTCCGAAAGTGTTGGGATTACAGGCGTGAGCCACTGTGCCCGGCCGTCCCCTCCTCTCTTGTCCCTCAACATCAAACAGGCCCACAGTGCTGGCTCACAGGGCCACAGTGGCAGTGGGTGGGTGTC